GCCTTAGCATGTTCACTACAGGGGTCACCAATGTGGAGGTATGTAACAACGACAGGAGAGGTCTCAGTGTCTCACTCCAACAACTTTATTAACTCACAGAACTTCACATATAGTCAGCGCCAAAATCTCCACCCCCACACTTCCCTTCAACTTGTGTGTGAGTGGAGCCACCTGGTGGTCCGCCACAATGTATATTTAATTAATAACAAAATATACATATAAAATATATTAATATAAGTGAAACACAAAGAACAGATGTGACTTAAAATTGTAAGATGCTTAATAAAATAAAACAAATGGTTTTACATTTGAGTGGGGAAAAAATTTCACTCCATGTAGGAGTGCTTTTCGAAATCTCGCGTTATTTCATGAAATATCACGAGGTTTTCTCAAACTCGTCCCCCCATTCTGGAACATTCTTCATTTCGCGCCCTTGGACAAAGCTGACAGTTAAGCTGGCAATTTTTGGATTAAGTTCATCTTTGAGCTACGGACTTATTTTCTGCACTAACAGTAAGAACTTTTTGACTTAATTTGAATCCCTAAGTATAAATGAAATGTTTACAAAGTCCTGTTATATTTAAGATAGCAATTGCTATCTCAACCGTCTCACATTTCTGTTTAATCAGTTTTCTGTTTGACGTTTATTCAGCGGTGAAAAAACCAAGGAGGAATCCACCCGGGGGATTAATAAAGTTTTATTTTATCTAATTTAATCTAATAACTTTAATCTCAGCCAAACCGGTTTACTCACGAACAAATAAAACACTGAAAAAAGACAAACAATAACATTTTTAGGTTGTCTAAGTGACTTATATATTCGTTCAACACCTGGGGGACCAATATTGTTTATATTGGTCCCCCAGGACACACACGTCCTTCAAATTCGGGGAAAAGGAGGACGCATTTGTCGGCTGCATTCGGAGGAGTCTACAAATTTGGACAGCCTTCGGCGCGTCGCTGTGACGTAATCGGTCTACAAATGCGGCCTCAGGAGGATGCAGCCCATGAATTTGGACACGACAAGCGTTAATTGGAACACAGCCTATGAATTTGGACAGCCTTTGGCTGCAGACAGAGGAGAGCTTTGACCAGGTACCAAAGCAAATCATTCGTACTGTACAAATAATGTAAATATGACGGTGTATCACAAAAGATTTATATCAAACGGATCACTTGGCCCATATTACGTTACTTGCTCTTCGAGTGAATCAACAAATGGCAAAATGAAAAGCCGAACAACAACAATGCTGTCTTTTTTAGAGAGTCTTAGCTTACATGTGTTTTTATTTCATATTTCCAGTTGTTACCCTCCGCGGCTGAATAAAGCACTTTAAATTGGTTTCAGTTATGTACTGATGAACACAACAATAAGGGGCTTCTTTCAAAGAAAAATCTCAGGTAGATGTTATTTTATATATTGTGGAGGTAAGCATCAACGACACAGAGCTCTCAGTTCTCACTCCTTCTTTATTCCTCTCCAACATCAACTGCACATATCGCGCCACAAAACACAGGAACACACTTTGTTAACACTGGGTGTGAGTGGAGCCCTCTAGTGGTCCACCATACATGCCCCCACCGAACACCCAGCAGAACTAGTCCAGGACCCGGGGCTTAAGCAAACGGCCGGAACGGCTGAACCGGGGGGGTGGGGAACTGACAGAGGGCAACCCATCATATGGTGGACGCAGCGGAGTCCTATGGGCATCGTGCCTGGTATCGAAACACGGGGGGGGCTCTCAGGTAAGAATTCCCTTGGGACCCGGAGGGGTTGGCCGAGGACCAGTTCAGCTGGGGAAACCCCGAGGTCTTCTTTAACCGCAATTCCACCAAAACCCACAGAAGACGGTCAACCCAGTCGCCATCTGTTAAGGAAGCCCGGAGTGACCTTAAGTGACCGGTGAAACCGCTCGCGCATCCCGTTAGCTTGCGGGTGGTATGCTGGACCTTGACCCCCAGGCCGTCAGCCATAGCAGACCAAAGCTCAGAAACAAACTGGGGCCCCCTGTCCGAGGTAATGTTAGCAGGGGGCCGAAACGCGAAACCAACGTTGACAAAAATGCTCTGGCCACCCTCACCGCTGTCGTGGATGCCAGGGGTACCATCTCCGGCCACCTGGTCGTGCGGTCCACCACAGTAAGATGCGTGAAACCCTGTGACTGCGGCAAGGGACCAACCGTGAACGTGATCGAAACGCCTACCGGGGACACGGAAAGGTTTGAGGGGTGCCTGCGTGTGCCGGTGGATTTTCGAGCGTTGGCATAGGATACAAGCCGCCGCCCATTCTTTCATCGTTTCGCGAAGGCCCGGCCAAAAGAACCTGGCGCTGACCAGCTTGACTGAGGCCCAGACGTTGGGATGAGAGAGGGCATGCACCAAGTCAAAAACACGACGCCACGAAAGGGGAACCACCAGGCGGGGGTGACACACCGGGGTGTCCTCCACTACGAGGCCCGTTTTCGTTGACTGAAGGGCAAGGACGTCCGGGTCAGCATGTTGCTCGGCGGACATGGCAGCGTAGTTGAAGCCGACATACTCCGGGGAAACCAACACACGTGAGAGACAGTCAGTGACGTGATTGGACTTACCAGCCACATGCTGAATGTGGGTGGTAAACTCTGAAATGGCCGCCAACTGGCGCTGCTGGCGTGCGCTCCATGGGTCAGAGACCTTGGACATCGCAAACGTCAAAGGTTTGTGGTCAACGTATGCAGTAAAGTTGCGACCCTCGAGGAAAAATATTGTGTCGCGAGGTGCAGGGCCAGCAACTCCCTGTCAAAAACACTGTACTTGCGTTCAGCATCCCGGAGCGTACAACTGAAAAAGGCGAGCGGTTGCCAGAGACCTGAAACCCGCTGTTCCAACACCCCACCCACTGCCACGTCGGACACGTCGGTGGTCAACGCGATCTCCGCCGACGGAAGCGGGTGGGCCAGCAGGGCTGCGGAAAACGCCTGGACGCGTTCCGGCAGCCAGTCAACAGGATCTTTGGCTGTTTTACCTTTTAAGGCAGCATAGAGCGGCTGTAGCAGATGGGCAGCTCTGGGGAGAAAGCGGTTGTAAAAGTGTATCATCCCCAAGAACTCCTGCAACGCTTTAACCGACGTGAGACGCGGAAAAGCCGAAACGGCCTGGACTCGGTCGGGCAACGGAACCAAACCTTCAGCAGAAATGCGGTGCCCGAGGAAATCCAGAACAGGCAACCCAAACTGGCACTTGGAAGGGTTGATGATCAGGCCGTACGCTGCCAAACGCTGGAAAACCTGGCACAGATTGGACTCGTGCTGGCTCGCTGAGCAGCTGGCCACCAATATATCGTCCAGATAAACAAAAACGAACGGCAGCCCACGCAAAACGGAGTCCATCAGCCGCTGAAAGGTCTGGGCGGCACCTTTCAGGCCAAATGGCATGTGCAAAAACTCGAACAAGCTGAAGGGGGTAATGACAGCGGTTTTAGGAATGTCTTCGTCGCGCACGGGAACTTGGTGATACCCCCACACCAAGTCAATTTTAGAAAAAATCGAGGTTCCGGCGAGATTGGCAGAAAAATCCTGAATGTAGGGGATGGGGTAAGGGTCATTCTCCGTGGCATTATTTAAACGGCGGAAATCTCAGCATTGCCGCCACCGACCGTCCAATTTGGGCACCATGTGAAGCGGAGAGGCCCATGCACTGTTCGAACGCTGTACAATGCTAAGGCGCTCCATGGCTGCAAACTCTTACCGAGCGACGGACAGTTTCGTGGGGTCGAGGCGGCGAGCACGTGCGATTACCAGGGGCCCGACTGTGGGAATATAGTGCTCAACCCCATGCTTCGTTACCGTGCTAGAGAAATTAGGGACAGACAGCGATGGAAACTCTAAAAGCAAACGCTGAAAAGCATCCCCGGAGGACTCTACATTAGCCCGAATCAGGGGCTCGGTGGCCCGAGTAAAACAGGGTAGCGAAGAAAACGAGAGAGCATCAATTAAATGTCTGTTAGCAACATCGAAAAGCAGTCCATGAGCACACAGAAAATCAGCACCTAAAATAGGTACAGAGCTAGCGGCAACAACAACCCGCTGGCGGGTCCGTTTCCCTGGACCGTGAAAGCGCAAGGTGGCAGGCAGCGCCAAAGCGCTGATGGTAGAAACAGATGCTGTTTCTGCGGTGCCAGCGTGTAGCAATCCCTGCCATCAGCAAGCGGGCGGATGCTCCGGGGGAGGCAGGGGGAGGCGTGGAAGGTGCTGCCGGCAGGTCCATAGCCAGGGCGTGAACGTCGAAAGTGCGGCTAGCCAGGAGAATGCGATCCGCTTCTTTAGCCAGGGAGCGATAATCCTTCGGAGGCAGAAGCGGGGAGTTTGCGAGGTGGGCGAAGAGGAATCCCCCGTCATCCAGCCCGAGCAATGATAGCATGTTCTCCATGAGCTCAAGAGCAGTACCGCCACCCAAGCCTGACAGGTTGAGGAGCTTTTCGGCTCCTTCAGCGTCGGAGAGGGCATAGCGCCAAAGAAGCAGCTCTTTAAGGGCAGTGTATTTCCCTTTGGCAGGTGGGTCCCGGAGGAGCGTCATCGCGCGACGGGTGGCCAGCGGGTCGAGCGAGGCCACCACATGGTGATACTTCGTATCGTCTGCCGAGATTCCGCGAAGGGCGAACTGAGCCTCCACGTGTACGAACCATGACGGGGGGTCATGGAGCCAAAAGTCTGGCAGTTTCAGTGCCAAAGCAAACGTAGCTGCAACAGGAGGCGGAGGTCCGGCAGCCGCTGATGCATCCATAGCGGAGTCTGCATTATCTTTGGCCCGTAGCATGCTCGAGTCAGGGTCACCAATGTGGAGGTAAGCATCAACGACACAGAGCTCTCAGTTCTCACTCCTTTATTCCTCTCCAACATCAACTGCACATATCACGCCACAAAACACAGGAACACACTTCGTTAACACTGGGTGTGAGTGGAGCCCTCTAGTGGTCCACCACAATATTATGCTTTGTATGTTGTTCAGTATTTTTCTATGCAAAACAAGAGGAATTTCAATAAACAGCAGTATATTCACAGTTGAAACCAGATATTTACATACACTTTAGGGAAAAAACATAAAAACTTTTTTTCTGTTAAACATCAATTTAGAGTAAACCTGTTTGTTTTAGATAAATAAATATTGAAAGATCTTTTGAATTAGTTAAATGTCAGAATAAAGAGAGAGAGAGCTGTCTCTTTTTTATCACTTTCATCAAATTTAGGAGTACATATACACTAAGTTTATTGTTAATTAATAAGATAACTCCAGAGGATTCCATTCTGAGCTTCTGATAGGTTAGTAGAGTCCATGGGAGTAAATTGGTGACACACCTGTGGATGCATATAAGGCACACCCAAAACACAGAGCCTGTTTCTTTGTCATGGGAAAATCAAGAGATATCAACCAAAACACCAGGAAAAGAATTGTGGACCTCCATAAGTGTGGCTCAATTTTGAATACAATTTGGGTGCCATTTGCAATTAAGAAATAGATACAATTTCTCTCTTTACTTTTAAATTTAACAAATATGTTTTTTTATATTTATCAATCTAAAACAATAAACATTTAGTCCGATTTGATGTTTTACAATTAAAAAAGTGTTTGTTTTTATCTGAAGAGTATGTAAATATTAGGGGTGCAACAATACACAAAATTCACGGTTCGGTTCGGTTCGATAATTTGGTCACATGGTTCGATATTTTTTCAATACAAAAAAAAATGTTCATGTCTTTTTAATTTATCATTTATTAAAATTATAAATATATATTTTAACTCAAAAGTACAGTTTTTAAATTTAATGTTGCTGAAACAACAAAATAAAAATCTTTCTGATCTTTGGAAAATCACTCATCTTTGGAAAAGAGAGTTTATTTCAGAGAAATAGCTCTTTCCAAAATAAAAGCTATACTATACGCTTCTTCTGGGCTATATTCTCAGCAGCATATTAAACATATCAGGTCCCCATAAGCAGACTAATGTGCTAACGGCTGTCTAAATGACTCGGGTAAAGTTTGTAGCATGCTTGCTTGTTGTTTTTGTCTGCTTCCACTTGTCTTTGCGCTAGGATGATGTCGGCGTAAATGTGCTGTCATATTCATTGTGTTCCCACTAGTGCTGTCAGCGTTAATCTCATTAAAATGACAAATCTCCGTTAACAAGTTACCGAGGATCGCCCCGTGCATGGGGCTGGGCGGCGTCAATGCGTTAACAAGCTAACTGCGCTAACGCACTAGTTCCCACAAATTGACCGTTGCGTGGCACATCCGACATACTGTTTTACTTTTGTCCATGACAAACTTTTTTTTTTTTTTGTGTCCATGACGCACTTACTATCGGGGTCATGCTTCACATGAAAACAAGATAGTTCCAAATGCCAGACCTGAATGAGGGTGGGGGAGATTCAGTTTCGGGTAGCATTGAGGGAGTTGCCATGTTGCAATGAGCTTAGCTTCTGTCTTGCTAGCTTGCGCTGCACTCAGTGGATCTACACTCGACAGTGCAGCCTAGGCGGAGTACTCGAACGCAGATCCACTGAGCGATCAACACAGACAGCATCGTCAGAAGAAAAGTTGACAAAACAAATAAAAAATGTTGTATTGTTCAATACATATGCGTACCAAACCGAAAGCACTGTATCGAACGGTTCAATATCGATATGAGTATCGTTGCACCCCTAGTAAATATCCGGTTTCAACTGTATATTTGATGATGTTGGTGTTTGGCTTGCTTGTCAGCACAAAGAGGGAGAGAGAGGAACAGAGAGGGAGATGGAGAGGAGAATGAGGACAGAACAGAGATGGAACAAGAGCCAGGTGAGACAGACCTTTTACTCAAAAGGTTGTTTGCCAAAACTCATCAGAACATGTATTTAGTACCTTTCTGAATCTAAATAGTGTACTTTGGTAGAATTGGTTAAGTCCTAAGTAGTCCTGATTTTGAACTGTTGTAGTCCTGTTTTACTTCCAGATCAGTTCTGGGTTCTGGTTGAATTGGGGTTTAGTCCTCGTGTTTTGATACAGCCCCGATTTTGTTCTGTCTTGCTGCTTAATTAAAAAACTAGTTTAAGGTGTCCTGCATATGTGATATATATATTTTTCCTATATGAGGTCATTCTTTTTTGAACAAAACTCAAAACACAGCCTAATAAATCTTTCAGTCAGCCCCAACCCCCACATGCATACTACCCTTTAGGGCTAAGCCCCGGGTGTATAAAATGTCTGGCTCTGCCTCTGGAGTTAACAGTATCCATGACACACAACGTAACGTTCTATAATGTGTCATGCGCAAAAGCGTCAGCTCTAAGAGCCGTGCTTAGAGAGTGCTTTGTAGTGAATCAGAGTCGACTCCCATTGAGCGAGAGCCGGCTCCTCACTTAATTTCCTTTCGCTGTTCAGCTCTCACACAGTGGCTCAGCTATGCTCCAATCCCTCCATATTGTGGCTAATCACATGCGAGGATATAGGATAATATCATTATGTGAAAAACAGAGAGGGTGAGAGATGCGACAGTCGAGTGGAGCGTGCGTCTGTCCTCTCAGTAAGTGAGTGAGACAGTAGACAGCAGTGAGGAGGGATGTGCGAGTGCTTCGCAAAAACACATATATATGGCTGACACCCGTAAACGAAGCAGCATCTGACTGCAGTTTAAAGACTTTTTTTGTCTCAGTCTTGGTGTTGGTTTTGGTCTCGCCTGGACTTGGTCTTGGTCTTGTCTTGGTCTCGATACCCTCTGGTCTTGGTATTGTCTTGGTCTCAGTTTAGGCAGTCTTGACTACAAGTCTAGTAAATATGCTTCCTGTTTCTGTGACTGCTGCTGTTCAGCTTGGCGGGTTTAGAGTAGGAAGTATGACGTGAGTGTCTCAAGTTTCTCAGGAAGCAAGCTGGCACAGCTGTAAGCAGGTGTTTTTATGACACTCCAATCAGCAGCAGGTGACTGACTCGTCATCAGCGTGGTTCCAGCAGATCTAACCAGGTGTGCCCAACCTCTGACTTTATCCCAGCTGTGACAGGCTCCATGTTGCTCAGAGAAATTGGTTTGTGGGGCAACAATCATGTCAAAGGGTATGTCTGGAAGTAGTCAGGGTGTGGCATTGAGACTGAACTCAGCTTTTCACAATATGTGTTTAATTCATGATTTACCAGCTCTGCATGGGAGGACCAAGGAGAGCTGTCTCCCTCTCTCTGCTGTCCGAATGTAGCCTAACGTAGCTCAGTGTTTCATCTCTGCCCAGAATCTGCATTTCCTTCTGTTCCTCATCGTGATCTCCCTCGTCCCTCTGTGCGTTCGTCTTTTTAGTGTTTCCCTACTTTCGCTGATCATCCTGTGAATCCAGGATTAAAGCTATTTGTGAGTTTAGTTCTGCCTGAGAGTCCTGCATTTGGGTCCCACCCTAACTTGCTTCATGCAGCGTTTTATGACAATATATGAAAATTAGTAACAAAACAGAACTTTTTCATGATATTGAGATTTATTGAGATTATCTAGTGTATGTGAGTTCTTTTTGTACTCTTTGCATGATAACTGTGAGGTCTTTGTACTGCAGACTGAACCTGGGCCAGGAGACTAAGAATCAGGCCAAAAGCTTCTCAGCTGAAGGACTCAGAGAGGACACTTTTGTATAGGAATTTCTTTTATTTATGTATTAATCACATTATTTTATTGTATGATGCCTTGGTGCTACTGGATTTAAACATGTTTCACACTCATACTGTAAGACAAATGGTGGGGCTATAGTAAGGAAGTTGGGGGAAGCAGACAACTCCACAGGTGGAGTCTTTTGTCTCTTCGAGGACTCTGGGAGGTAGCAAGGGAGTGTGAACCTTAAGGTGTGAAACAGCTGTGTACTGCCTTTTGTTCCTGGAGAAGGTATTTAACTGAGAGCCATGTTAGGCTTGGGTGAGACTCTGCTGACCGTTTGCCCCGCGATCATGCAGGCTCTCCACCAAGCTTCGGTTTTCTGTTCTTTGTTTGTGATTAAAGAATGTTAGCTATCGCTCACCGCTCGTCAGCAGGCTTTATTTAATGGAAAACTTCCACAGCACTTTCCATCATAATAAATCAGGATCAAAGTTCACAGTCACATGACAGTTATTCAGAACTCTGACTTGGATCACAAAGACCTCAAGATGATCTACCTGCCACATACCAAACCAGAGTTGTTGTTACAGAGCACCAAGCAGGAAAATACATTATTTCAAGAAAAAACAGAAATGGTATTAAATGAAGACATTTTCCTCCTCGGAGACTGTACCATTGACTGAATCAAAGAAAAAAAAAGGACAGGACAAATTTTGTCTCTGATTTTTTGTTTTTGTGGTCTGACCCAGATCAGAGAGGAAAATAAAGTGTGACAATCCACATCAATGTACATCGATCACATCTGCACAAATAATCCAGAGCTCTGCTCCAAAACAAGCCCAGTCAATCAGTCAGTGATCGCAAGCTCATCACTGCCACTGTACGAACAAGATTCCTCAGAGGCAGGAACACACAAACAGATCCCCGATGTGAATGCTTCCTGTTCACTCATCATCACAGTCTTGGGCTACGTTCACACTGCAGGTCTTAATGCTCAATTCCGATTTTTTGATCAAATCCGATTTTTTTGTCTGCTTGTTCACACTACAGATAAAATGTGACAGCAAACGCGCTCTAGTGTGCACCCTCAATGCGGCCCGCATGCGCAAAAGAAGATGTCACACACAACGCACTCTGTTTAGACCCAGACCAAACAGTATTGTTTGACTGATGGCCCTTAATATAAAGACTTCGGACTTTACGTTTCCCAATTT